CAACCGAGTCCCAATCTTGAAGCATCGCTATATACGGAGAAATCATCATCACCTTCTGGGAGTGATAAGATGGGAGCATGAGTTAAAAGATCTTTTAGAGTTGAGAAAGCTTTTTCTTGATCTTCACCCCATTTGAAATTCACTTCCTTCCGTGTAAGGCTTGTGAGGGGTACGGCTATACAAGAAAAGTCTTTAATGAATCTCCGGTAATATCCCACGAGACCTAAGAAACTACGAATTTCGGAAGCATCACGAGGCACTTCCCAATTTTGAATGGCTTCGATTTTGATGGGATCTACAGATACACTGTTACTGGAAATAATATGGCCGAGAAATGAACTTGACGGAGCCAAAATTCACATTTCGAGAATTTAGCATAAAGTTTCTCCTTTAGAAGGAGTTCTAGGATTTCACGAATATGAATGGCATGATCGGCTTCAAACTTGGAATAGATTAGAATATCATCAATGAATACGATGACAGACTTATCGAGCATTGAGCGGCAGACTCGATTCATCATATCCATGTGTGACATCCCGGAATTTAGGTCATAGATTTCAAACGACTAAACTACGACAAATCTATTTGTAATTAATTCATTTAGCTTTAACTGCATCTAAGGAAATATAAATGAGTTAATTTCAATTATTATATAATATTTGATGATATTTTTATGCCCAAACGTGTAAACTGGTAACCCAATCAAACCGCTCAACTGCAGCGCTGACTAATGCGTCTGAAAATTGAAATTTAACATTTTTCATTTTTGAGCAAAATAAACACAAAAATATGATAGTACATGTTCCCCCATTTCCAAAAATATAAAGAACGTCCAAAACGGAGTTTGTATGCAAAAGATATAACCGCTTTAAGAAAAACGGACAGTAAAACACTTTTATTCTTTAATCGCGTAAATAAAAACGTTCCGTTGAGGCACTTACGCTTTGCCGACGGGATTTTTGAGAGCATTTTTGGACTCAGGATATAGAATATTATTTAATTTCACACTCAAAATAATTCTTACGAAAATATTTATGAAAGTCGCAAAAACGGACACCGCCAACCGTTAAGACGCAAAACTTCAAACGCCATTTCCCGGAGATCCGTAACTCCAAAAATTAATCCGTTTGATGTTCTGGAATCCTTGAATTATACTCTATCTAAAAGTCCTTTCGAAAAAAAATATTCGATGCACGAATCCCAAGGAACCCATTTTCGCATGTTTTGGATATGAAATGGAGGTATAACTCCATGTGGGGCCCCCATGGTGTGATGGACTCCAAAAATCTGATCTCCTTCCAGCTTCCCACGTGCTTCTCCTCTACCTCACTCTTCATCTTGGTTTGCAAGTATCACCAAAAGTACATAAACAGTTGAAGGTATGGCCATTAGTAAGCATGTGTGTGTAGACTTATACTATAAATAGAGGGTTTACTTCACCTGAATCCTCACAAACTAATCGGTTCTTCTTCTCTCTATCACTCCCTCTCTTAATCTCTCCCTCTCTTCCTCTTTCCTTACACCACCACCCACTGCCACTAATATCAAACACCTCCTTCAACCATGGTTTGTTCCTGATTTCAACCACCGAGAGTCTCTCCACCCTCCCCTCTCTTTTTCTCGGGAAGAAGACGCAACAGAAGGCACCAGGAGGCTGTCGGGGACCCTCCTGCCACCACCGACGAACAAACCACCTTCTCTTTTTGTGCTGCTGTGTTGCTGCCACTGTAAGTCCCTACCGTCACCACCTTGTATATTTATTTCCTTCTCATTGTCGATCATAATAAACAACCAAAGAACCATAAAATCATGCGTAATTCTTTTCCTTTGTTTATGCATGGAATTCGAGTGAACACAGGAGGTTAACACCTCCTGTGTAATTGATCGACACTATACAAACATGCATTCCATTTAAATAGATATGATCCCTCAACTTTGAAATTGTCCATTATTAGTCCCTCCATATTTAGAATTATCTCAAATCTAGTTGTTAAACAATGAAAGTTTAATCAAAATATTTAAAACATACCCTAAACTGAACAAATCTTTTCAAAACAAATCAAACTTTAAATACAAAATTAAATGAACAATGTTTATACGTATATATTAGAAATTTTAAAGTTGATTTCAAATAAATTAATTTTGGTTATTTAAAAACTTGCGGAAAAATAATAAATTAAATTTTAAAATTTATTTAAAATAATTTTAAATTTTAAATTGGCAAAAGTTAGGGAATTATTCAAGAAATTGTTATAATACTTAATCACGTCCAAATATTAATATATATCGAATTTCTAGGAAATCGAACTAATCCCGGAGATCACGACCTCACGGCAATACATTCTGGTCTTAAGAACTACTCGTTTACCACTCGATAAGGTGAGAGTTACGGCCCCTTTTGAATATTTTATTTATTCTTGGGGGAGAATACATGTGCTAAATAGTATTTATTATGCAAATACATATGCCTTATATGATATACATGCTACAATTTTAAAAGTTGTAAAGACTTCCATATCTGAATACTAGGCATTACACACTTGTACAATACCATTATGTTAAAATACATATCTCCATAAAAGTGAGTAATTTATACTTTTATAAATACGTCAACCATACTCGACTTTACAAATACTATACTACGAAATTCATTATGCCCGGTACTTATCTATAATTAAGTTAGGGCTGAGAGTTATTCACAAACTTTTCGTTAATGGTTTTTGAGTGAGACGCTACTATTCATTAGCTGAGTTTAATCACTTAGCCTGCCCCATACTGCTATAATCGTTAATCTTCGGAGCGAGTTACATATATATAGATCTATATGGGTTCGACAACCCCACCTGCGGTTGCTAGCTACAACCATCGACTGATCAATCGAAGCAGGTGATATGTGTCTACGATCGTTACTACGACGTCCAATGAAGCGTCGTAGGGAGGGGTACCTTTCGTCTATAGCTCGATTATAGAACTCACTAAAAACATTAACATGA